CGTCACTCCCCGGGCGGGTGGGTGGGATCAAAATTTTGCTGCAGAGCACCTGCGAACCCACATGCTGCAAGAGCAAACGTTCGCACCAAGGGCATGTCAAAACACATGCCAAAATAAAACCACTCTACGACAAATGCTGCTCTAAAACTCAAACAGATAAATGTTTCGTCCCACCAACGGTCCAATAAAAGTTGAACGAAAGCAACAGGAGTTTTGCATGTCCCACCAAACGTGGGACTGGATGTTTTCTCAAGCAGAAAGAAAAGTCGGCAAGCCGAAGATTATCTTCTACTCAGAAAACATATGCAAAACTCTGATGTATATCGTTCACAATTCAAAAGTTATGCAAAAGCTACAAAAAGGTAAATATATTCAGAGTCAGAATATATATATCACCTTCAATAAATATATAATCCCTCAGAAGCACGCGCGGACAAGACTCACAACTTTTCCGTCTTTGCGATCGGGGGTCGAGTGAGTGGACCGAAGGTCTCGAGAGCACGGGCAACACAATTGCCGCTCACGAGCACCCCCCCAGAAGAGAGAACTCGGTTGGACCAGACATCCAACAGTTCACGAGAAGTGCCACACACACAAGTGGCCAAGCCGCCGTCACTCCCCCGATTTCACAAGAGCTTTGCCACGCGTGAATCTGATGAATTCCTTGTCCTGAGGAAAAGGCTCCACGCAGCGAGCCTGCGCAAGCCTCAGGATCTCGTTTCCTGCTTGCCTAGACGGATAGCCGGCTATGTTCGAAAAGCTCGGCACTCGCTCTATCCAGCAAGAGCAAGGCGACAACATCTCAACCTCGGATAGGCGGAATGCAAGTTCGGACATTGCTTTGCTGCTGCTATGTCCCTTTATCACCACGCTTCGGGCAGCATTGTTGTCTATCCAATAAATGCATTTCCGACCTTCGAAGGTCGAGCCAAGAACATGCCGGATGGCGACCAACGCGTACAGCTCAATCTCACAAATGAGTTGTTCGCCCACGGACGACAGCCAAGTCTTCACCAGCCAGGGATCAACGAAGCCCTGAAAGACCCGGCCACGTGCCTGCATCGAACAGCACTGCACCGATGCCTGCAACATTCTTCTCCCAAGAGCCGTCAGTGTAGAGGTGGAGCAAAGGTTCAGAAGGGCTCACACGCAGAAAGCGCGGCGACGAGGACGCGATTTTGCACCGTGCTTGCTCGCATCTTTCTCGCACCTGCTCGGGGGAAAAAGGCACGCCTTTCACCACTTCTCCAAGCCAACAGCAGGTCTGCTTTAAACCCCTGCCTGCATAGAACCCCGAGGCAAACTGCAGCAATCCGCGAAGAACTTGGGCTTCATGCCTGTTGATTCGCCCAGCCGTCGCGATCTCTCCAAGCTTTTGCGAAATCCTCTCCGCCCGGCCGGGCTTGTTGGCGAGGACCACAACTTGACTCTGGATCTGGCTGAGATCAAGTGACATTCCTAGTACGGTAAAAACCTTATCAAACGCAAGACCCTTAGAACCGCTAGTGGCGTGTCCCCAGCCCAGGAGTGATAGGAACTCGCTTACGCACTGATCCACAAGTTCGCCTTCTTCCTCCAATCCGAAGATTGGGTAGTCGTCGTAAAAATATCCGCACGGCAAGTGCATCAATTTCGTGACTAAAAACCATAAACTCCTAGCGATCCTATTAAAGGCGAAAACAGCAGATGTTGCACCGAAAACTAAAGCGTTCCCAATTAAGAATTGGGTCATGCCTTGGCCATTCACGATGCAAATCACGCACAAATCCCGATGAGCAGGGAGCAACGGGAGCTGTTTATACGCCTTAGTTAGATCTAAGGTTTTTCCAACCCACGATCTAGGTTCGACCCCCAGTCGGGCGGCACGTTCTGCATCAAGACGGGCAATCTTCAAAGCGAGAGATGAAATATAGTCCGAGTCCATCATTCGGAGCTTAATCATTGACGCGTATGCATCATTCAGCTGAGCTTCTGCACAATCATCAATCGGACGAAGCTTCATCTCGGCACCTTGCACGAGCACGAATCTTCGCACTGCCGTCCAATCTGCGTGACCAAGACGTTCGGAAACCTCGGATTCCGTAAACGGTCCGTCCAGGAATCCTCGGTCCACCTCGTCCAAAGTGGATCGCACAAGATGCTCAACATGCTCGGCATCGCCCGGCCGCCCTGTCTGAACCAAGGTTTGCCTGCGGGCCTTGGCGGAAGCGCGAAGCTCTTGCTCGGTCAAGGTGGCGGGCACGATTTTGGCATCAAAGGGCTTAGGAAGGTCGGACGTCCCAACCAGTGGACACCCCTCCATCACGAACTTCGTTGCCTCAGATCGTCATATTTGAATTCTTCAAGCAACCTTTTCCAAGCAAGGATTTTCTTGGGGGCCACAACCTTTTGATACCACGATGGGAATGAGGCATGCAGTTCCTCTTCCTCCTTTTCCAAGGAACGAACAAGAAGCTTTACTTTCAGCAGTGCCAACCTCCTTTTCAGCGCCAGTTCGGCAGGACTTGCCGTCATGTATTCGTCCAAGACCTCCAAGGTCTTCGGAGCAATAGGGTTGGCCGAGTCCATCGGGCGGGCAAGTCTAGCAGCTCTAGCACATTCCATGTGTTCTTTGGGCGAGAACCAAAACCCTACCCTGACGGCACACTCACCATGTGGAGGACCGGCAATCGCAGAACTGCTCTCGGCTCCACAAGTGAGGTTTGGACCAGTGTCAGCTTCAGCTGTCGACGGCAAGCTTTTACACTAGTCTGGCAAGTAAGGTCTGGGCCAGTGTCAGCTTCAGATGTCAAAAGCAAGTCATGTCCGGACATCCTAGTCAAGATGCACGGGGCGATCTTGATCTAGCCTTTGGTGGGAGTGCTGGTGTCACCTGGCGAACTTTCGCACTTTCTCGTTCCCCCGACACAACACGCGAAAGGAGCACCTGCACGATTTGCCAGGCTGAAAAGATGATGGCATGTATCGGATCTTGCGGAATTCCGGTAGCAGTGGCTGGAATCGCGACTTTGGCGAGCACTTGCTGCTAACGACACTGCATGAAGATCGACGGCAGGCTGCGACGACAGGTGGCACGCCCGTGCTCGGAATGCCAAGTGATCAGCCCAGCGTGCGGCCAGAATAGGCAGGTCCAGCAGTGTGAGAGAAGTCCCATGGTTCGTGGCGATGTCCACCCTGACATCGCGTAACGAGCTTTGTTGGTAGCGGCGTCGTCGCAACAACGCCATCCTTATGAGCAAAATGCTCCAAGATGGCCAAGAGTTGGCAGGGTTATCGATCGACACACAAACGTTTCTGAAAACAGTGCCCAATCAGCTGATGGCAGAAGCGATACACTGCAAGCGGACCTGACTTTTGCAGATGCAGCTTCCAAGATTGGACCAGAGGAATTGCTGCACCTCAAGGGTTTTGGCTGACTTGCAAGACGATCAACTTTTGACTGAACAGTGCCACACGGTGCGTCAATGTGCAGTAAAGAGTGTCCCAAACAAGACAGTTGGTCTGCACAGTACCAATCAAGAGCACGGATTACAGTTGCGGTAAAGCTCCGGTTTAATCGAGCCCCAAAACGCCAGAGTGATGATTGAATCATACTCGGGTGTTCGTGTTGCATGGTATTTCATGTGTTTTATTTTGCTTTCGCTCCGATTGTTAAAAAATTCGCTTTACGACCGAAGGCTTCCTGATGTTGAAAGAGAAAGTATTCATAGTTTAGGAACAGCCTGAGGCAAGGAACGAACGTTTCCGGTATTGGCATATCATATTATTTGTTGTGTTTTATCATGCGTTTTTTTCGCTCTTCCGTTCACATTTTTTAGTGATACACTAGCTGACTTTCTTTTTCACAAAGTTCAAAGCATTCGAACCTGAGGATCATTCGTGGCGCCCTTTGGAAACAAAGCTCGCAAAAAAGCTTCTAGTAAAGGAAGGTCTGCAGTGTCTCTGTTGGATGATCTGTTCGGTACCATTCCGACACAAGTTTTGGCTGCAGTTTGCGGTTGCATCATAAAAATGTCTTTTGCAGTGTTTGGCTTAGATTGGTGTTCCCAGCCCTTGTGCAAGCACCTATTTCGTTTGCAAAGTGGTTTCAAGCGGCATGGTGCAGAGTTGTGCCAGGAGCTGGCAGGGTCTGGGCACGTGAGTGTGGTGGAAAAACGATGCACACTTGTATGGCAAGGGGCGAGCACAGTTTTCGAATTTCACGGAGTGGCAGGACCACACAAAACCGCCGGGAACGACGTGACCGCACCAAGGAGCCGCGTTCCAAAGTTTAAAGCGGGTTCCCGCGCATCATATACCCCAAGACGAAATTCTAATATATTCCTCTGAGCTCTAAACCCTAAACCCATTATTGCAAAAGTTTTAGGGCCCGCGTTCGCTGCCCAGCAAAACCAAGGCGGTCATCACGAGTCTTCTTGCAACGATGAACAGTAGCAATGCTTGTCGGGTTAGGGTTTAGGGTTTCGGCAAGTCAACTTGCGACGTGCTGGGGTGCTCGTCATGAATGGAAGGAACTTCTGTCTTATCCTACCTAGTCTTTACAGCTAGTAGTGTGATTTTGGTGTTTCCGGAGGCGACTGCTCAGCAGTAGTGGTAGTAGTAGTCGTAGTAGTAGTAGCAGTAGTAGTAGTAGTAGTAGTAGTAGTAGGTCGCCGTAGTAGTTCGTCGTATCAGCATACACGGTAGCAGTAGCAGTGGAAGTAGAAACACAGGCCATGCCGGCCTTTATAGGAGTGAAACTACGAGTCCACTTCTTGGACGCCCGTACTCCACAAGCCCTATCTTGGGGGATGTAGCGGTATAGAGCAGAGTATAGTCCTTGTTTTGAGGGATATTCAGAAAGCCTATCAAGGCAATTATTGGTGCTTGTTCAGACCCGTAGATGGTATTGGGATACCTTGTTTTCACAAACTCCAATAAGTTGAGAACTGAAACTGAAGCCAAGATTACCCATAAGCCTTTCGGGTTTAAGCTGGTCGGTGTAGTCAACCCTTCTTTAAGGACTTCGACAAGCACCTCATATTAAGGAACCCTCAAGAGATAGGGTAATGTAGGGGTCGAAAGAATTACCTATACTCTTTTGGGGGTCCCGTTTTATAGCTATACTACAATACACCCCGAAACCCTATTCTAATTATTAAGGCCCCTAAACCCCTAAACCCCTAAACCCCTAAACCCCTAAACCCTAAATCCTAAACCCCTAAACCCAAAACCCTAAACCCTAAATTAGGCTTTAGGGAACTTCGGAGTCTAGGGAAGAGTCTTGTGCCCTTTTTTCTGGGGAGCCAGGAAGCATCGGCATCCAGCGCGTGGTGCCAAGGCATTGAGATGGAGGCCAGCTGCGAGTGTGGGGTTTAGGGTTTAGTGTGTAGGGTTTGCGGTGTAGGGTTTACGGTGTAGGGTGCCATCATGCCATTTCGCTACTACCCCCGGATAGAATTATTATAGCATCACCCTCCCCTCAATAAATGAATATCTAGTCTAATTGCTTGGATAGGCATACCCATTAAATACCTGCGTTGTGAAAGTAGAGGCTTTAGCTGCAGACGCTTGATCAGTTACGGTACGCAAGCTCGAACCCTTGACACGCCACTTGTTGGCTCAAGCTACTGCGCAAAACATCGCGACATGCTTTGCACCTGCATCAGCCTGCCTTCAGATTTAGATTGGTAGCGGAGCTTTACGCTCTTAGGGACTTTGGGTGCCCATTTCATACTCCACGGCAGCACTTTGCGTAAGCCCTAAGCTTCCAGCTTCGCTTTTCCTTAGCGATGGCGAGCCTGTTGGAAGGCCTCTCTTGGCACAAGTTCATGGAAATATCCGA